ATACTCTTTTGTTTTCTATATTTCTATTTAACAATAAATATCACAATCTAATGTAGTAAAATATCACTTTGATATTTTCATACAATACGCATCTTCCTCCAGTGGCTTGCTGCCAGCACTCGCAAACTCTTTAGAAATTTCCCTCCGTTTTAAATTGCGTTTGGGAATAGAATGACAAGTTCAATATGAATACGGTAGATTGCAATTGACAATTCACACTTTTTATTCCTTTATCGTCTGTGTTTCTATTAATAAAACTCCATAAAGATGTTATTTTTCTGAACGTGAATCGCATATTCTAAATAACTTTAGTATCATTATTTTAATTAACTACTAGTACTATTTGTTCAAAAATAGAAGTTGAAGGTAGAATACAGTTTGCAATCTCAGTGAGTTGACGACAATGGTGCTCCGAGAGGTTCAAAGTGCGCTCCCAACGAAATCTCCAACCTCTCTGCGCCTCAGATTTCTGTGGTGCGATTATTCTCGCTTCACCTTTGTTTCACACGTCTTAACCACTTTCTAGAATGTAGACTGACAATTACGTTATGTACAGGTAAGATACTTAGCACTTAAGATCGATTGTCGTAGAACAAATGCTATGGTACAATAAGTGTCCCCGGATATTACAGACTTTTAATCGGACACTTGATCTGTATACGTTCATACTACGTATTAAAGTGATCTAGTGTGATTTGATTTTGCCTTGACAGCATGAGCATGACTAAGCTATTGGCTGATTAAAAGTCTGTAATCTACGGAGGCTGTAAAAGCTATAATATAGCACTTTCATATGTTGCTATGAGAAGTTTTAGACATAATTGCATTGCGAGTGTAAAATGATCTAGAAATTGACTACAACGAAGAAATTGAGTAGGCTTGTAATAACTTTTCTGCGTACAGACGTCAAATTGAAAAAATATTTATATGAAAATAATAATCAAAGGTTTACCCGATGCTTTTATAAAATTGATGATTTGTTAAAAGTCGAACATGAGTAATTCTAGGAATAAAATCAAAGCAAAACAGCCACAAAATGTTAACAATGTTATCTAAAAACATTAATGGAATACTGGCAATTCTATATATACATTTGTTAAATTATAATACATAACAAGAAAATTTTTAAAATAGATTTTTGTTTGACTCGGAACTGGAATCCTCAACAAAATTGAGAGGTTTTTGTTAAATCGGTTGTAGCGAATTTCTCGCGCATTCCTCGAACGATTGATTTCACAAAATCACTCGCCTGTGTTTGATGTTGATAAATGTTGTTTAAATAATGTTTACGTTTTAGCTATGGATGATTACAGATATAGACAAAATCTATTATAACATGCTATTCAGGCAATTGCATCGTAATTTTTTGTTTATTAGTCCAAAATTATTAGTAGATTTTTGTAAATTTACTAACATTTCCTTAAACTACTACAACTAAGCTCTATGCTTGTACTAAGATATGGTTCACGACAATAGTCGAATGGCGGAATTCGAATTCTCGACCTCAAGATCGGCAGTCCGTACTCCAAAGCATTAGTCATCATATTTCAGGGTAGACAACGCATCTGCAATTGCGGATGTCTATGGGCAGCGGTCGCTTCGCCATTTTGGCGGATTCAGGTGGCCGCTTGCTCGTTTGCCACCTTATGTTATAAAAAAAATAATTCAAGAACGACATTAAGCCATGTCGGTGAATAAACTACCTATGTTCTCTTGCCTGTGCTATTTTGAGACTTTGCATAATAAGCTAATCTAAATAAAAATCGTAAAAGGATACTTTGTACGATAAAAATAAATTACACAGTTACTACGTTAAAACCCTAATTTAATTGCAAAACAAAATTGAAACTTTCCTACGATAGAATCGTACTAAATCTCGCAGTTAACAAGAGTGTCTGCATTTCCTCGTTCTATTGTTTATACTGAAATTTTAAGAGCAAGAGCCTCTTGTTGCCTTTTTCTCGTCTTTTCGATTCAATACTAACAAGATACAAACGTACCCACTTATCGCGAGTTTTCACTGCTAAAACACATCTACAAAACATATCCCTATTTCTTTTTTGAAAGGTAAAGAAAGGGATGACAATACAATTTTGTATATTTATTCCTACATTGGAATACTATGTTGACTATAAAGTAGAGTTTGGATTATTGTACTTTCCAGAATGGATACTTGGGAAATTTTCAACTGTTTGTAGATTCGAGTTTAAGGCCGGGAATACATTCCTGTTGCTGGCACATTAGCATACCAGGCACAGGCTTGTGGAAACATACTAGGCCGAGAAGCTAGCACGATAGCTATTAGTGTAGTAGCTATTTATTTTGTGACAGTTGCGTGCGAGTTGTGGGAAGAATGAAGGTGGGTACGATTCTTGCTACTGACTCATCTTGTCTCGTACAATCTTGAACATTTTACTGGCATGTGAATACGCATTGCGCTTTAAAAGCACAAGAACACTTAATACAGTGATGATAATGTAAGGTAAAAATTACTTCATGATGAAACTGTTTATTAGATATCAAAATTTGAATTATCCCAACATGGTATAACCACATATTGAGACTGCAACTTGCTTTGTTACTATAGTTGTGGTACTTATTGAACTCTCGTCAACAAAACCACAGAGTTCTCTCTCCTCGTGAAAAGCGTAGCAGTTCTACGAGACAGGGTGGTGTCGAATTACTACTACGAGATCGTAGTGTCTACGCCGCAAGCTACGTGAAGTTCTTTATATCTTCTAACGATGTATTTAGAAATATATATACTGATAATTGTATTTTATAAATGTAATTTGTGTGTTGTACTTATGTTTTAACCTCTAAATGCATGACGATGCATTATACATCAGTCTTTTCTGTTATCCAAAAGACTATTTTGAAAAAACATTTTTTCATTTTTTTCCTTAATCTATGTTTAATTTAGTACCCGTTCCAATTTATGTATTTAAGAAGAAAAAATCGTGCATTTTAATAAATGTATTTTACAATTTATGTCTAAGTTATATTGATTATTAAATTGTTTGTATGTTTTAGTAATTAAATTTTATTCTAGTACTCTCTACTATCTTGACAAGTACTACTATCTAATTGATATTATTCATGAATAACTTTCAAGGGTTATTTAATTATCAACCCTTTTGATATCGATTAAGTGCCATACTTAGTTTGCGGTACGTCACAGGGAAGTGGTCTACGCAGTATTCCGTATCGACATTTCTATAGCATCTACTAGAAAGTTAATAGACATTGTGGTATATCAACTAATGAAATGATGATGATGATGATGATGATGATGATGATGATGATGATGATGATGATGATGATGATGGTAATGTGTTACATTAAACTAACTAGCCTTAATGTTAATAATCGCAAATTATTATATTATGAAGGAAAATGTCTCATTGTTTCTAATTACGTCAGTACTGTATGAAAAAGAATAAAAAGTATTTAAAAATTCTTACATCTTACTAATATTATAAATGCGAAAGTTTAGATGAATAAATGGATAGGTGTTTGTTAGATTTTACTGTCGAAATGTAGAGCAAAGTCTGGAAGCACTGATAGGCTACTTACTTTTGATTTTTTTCCACGCGGATGGAGTCGCGGACCAAAGCTAGTGAGTAATAAGCTCTTCTGGCTGAGAAAAACGTAGACTAACATCTGGTTACTAAATCATATTTTTTACGTAGTTGTATAGGTACTAAAGTTTGCAAGTCAGTTAGTAAATATAATTCTCCCTATCCTACTCTCGTAAGGTTGGCTCAACAGGTTTTTGTCCTCCACATAACTCTATCATACGTCATCTCAGTCATCACTTCCTTTTTGATCATGTCTCCTTTTAGGCAATACATCCATCTCTTTCTAGGTCTACCTCTACCGATGTAGCCTTCCACACTGAACTAACGTTCTCCTTGTAACATGCGATTCATCCTTCATAACATGCCCATACGATGCTAACCTTTTACTACTTACCTTCTCTACTACTAGGGCTACTCTCAAACTTCCTCTAATATGCTCATTTCGAATCTTATCCATTCGTGTTACCCGTCAGATATCCGTCAGTTTTATTGCAGGAAAATATTAATTATAATGTCGTAACTAGAAGTACATTTGTACTAGTTTAGTCAAACATCTTTCTTGAATAAACTTACCCATAACGATTATTTACACATTAATACGACGAGTTGATTTAGCGTCAATACATAAAATAAAACATAGAAACGTGTAACACGTACAGGAAAATATGTACAATAATAAAACACTAAAAATACTAAGTTACCCTCGCATACTTCTATCCAACAGCAAATATGAGGGTAATTAGCCTCTACTTTGTCACCGTTTAATAGTTGGCAACCCATACTCGTGGCAGGAAAAATAGGTAACCCCACCTTAGAGTCATGTTTACGTTACATACTATCGATTGGCGACAAAGTTATCAGGAAACTCGATGAGGGGTCTTTCCTCCAAAAATTGACCACTTCAGAGGTCAGTTAAACATAGCCTTGCCAGGCAAGGATTAGGCAACCCAGTTACAACAACAAAAATGTACTCTTTTACGTCATCGTCATCTCTCCTGCCTTATCCTACTCTCGTTTTCGTCATCCAAAGCACTCTATAATCCGTCATAATCTTCCATGTATTGTAGGTTTTATCAGGAAATCGGTTAAGGGAAGGAAAAACGCTTTGGATCTTAGTATACAACAGACAGACAAAACTTTTAAAAACTGTCTTTTAGTTAACAGTAACGCAAATACTTATTGTGACATGACACTCCAAATTTATTACCAGTATTGATAAACAAAGTTGCAGACTATAGATAAATCTATATAAATAGCTATATAATTAGTAAAATAATTATGTGTAGAGCCACTTATCATTGCACGTTATTGACACTTAATTACAAACAAGTCTAACAACGTTACTCACTTATATTCCTTTGCAATCAGCTCTCGGACTCAGTTCTTATTGATATCATCACAAATAAACTCGTTGCAACAATGTTGTGTATATCATTGTTAGTTATAAGTGCATTACTACTCGCTATCTTTAAATTTTTCGTTAAAGATAGGCATTACTGGAAGAAGAGGAATATACCAGAAGTGCAGGGTGTCATGTGGAAATTTCTCAAAAGCCAGAAATCAATAGCCGAAATTTATAAAGACATTTATTTTGCTTATCCCGAAGAAAATATCGGTGTGTATAATGGACCAAAACCAGCATTAATTATAAAGAACTTGGAAAACATACAAGCGGTATTACTTGGAGATTTCCAAAGCTTCTTCAGTCGCGGTTTTAATACGAACCAAAACGATCAACTTACGGATAGTGTACTATTTATGGAGGATTACGAAAGATGGAGAATTGTAAGATACAAAATTTCACCAGTGTTTACTATGAAAAAACTAAAAAGTATGTTTTATATAATGGAAAGATGCGCCAGAGATTTTATGCAATTTATGGACAACAATCAAGAAGCGATAAACAAGCCATTCAACGCTTTGTACACTTATACCACGGCTTCTATCACTGCATCCATTTTTGGTATCGATGCGAACACCCAAAATACTATGGATTCACCTTTCATAGAAATGGCAACAAAAGCTACTGAACCATCTTTCCAAACAAATTTAAAATTCCTCCTTGCTAGTACGTTCCCGAAACTTTTCAAACTACTCCAATTAAAATTTTTCGGTGATCACGAATATTATTTTATAAACGTTGTGAAGCAAGTGTTGAAGGAACGTCGCAAAGACAATGATAAGAGATACGATTTCATTGACACTTGCATTGAGTTACAAAATGAAGGTGTTATGCGAAATTTGGAGACGGGGTATCAGTTGGTACCATCTGACGAACTGATGGCTGCGCAGGCGTTCTTCTTCTTCATTGCCGGTGCTGACACATCCGCGCATTCGATGCTCTTCGTTTTATTGGAACTTTCTGGAAATCCAGACATTCTTAAAAGGTTACACAAAGAGATCGATAGTGTTTTCGAGAAGTGTAATGAAAAATTAACAACCGACAATATTGACGAGTTAAAATATATGGATATGGTGATCAATGAAGCGTTTAGAAAGTATCCAACGATCGGATCGATACAAAGAAAATGTACTAAAACAACTACTCTGCCGGTGGGACAAATAAAGGTAGAGAAAGACGTGCAAGTTATAATACCAACATACGCAATACATAGAGACGAAAAGTATTACCCGAATCCAGATGTATTTGATCCTGAGAGATTTTCTCCAAAAAATATTGGCAACATACCTAAATATGGATATCTTCCATTCGGTGAAGGAAATCGGATTTGTATTGGTAAGAATGAATTCTTGTAGGAACTAAAATCACTAAAGCACTAAATTCCACTAAATCTGTAAGTCTATGACTTTTATTCTTTTGTCCATTTCACGTGTTTTTTTAGGTTATGTCTGTTTAGTGTACAAGATTACAAATTTCAATACATTTTTCAGGTGCAAGATTCGCTCGACTCCAAATGAAAGTTGGCCTGGCCTGGCTTCTGAGACGATACACGTTGAAGGAACAAGTGTACAAACCGAAACGTTTTGAGCCCAGCTTTTTCGCATTGAGAGATACTGGAGCTCGGGTTGACTTCATTCCGAGAAGAATTTGAACATGTTAACACTTTATCCTTCTCATTTTATTTCAGAAAAATAAAGATAGATATATTTCTTCTTCTATATTATGTTCTTTATCTATGCCAAATTTCATCGAAATCCATTGGAGCCTACTGTAATCGAAGGTCAAACTTTGAACAGCATTGATTCATGCAGGATCTGCTTATAAAACTAAACAACATGCATATAAATATGTAGAAAACATTTACTAATAATGTCATATATTGAACATTTTCCTGTTCGTCATATGTGATATGTGTAAAAATATATACTAAATAATATAAAGATGGTTCGTTTTTCTTTGATCTGACGACAGTTCGGAAGAGTCTCATTTCCTGTTAGCCTCTAGCTTTGATCTTGTTCCCAATTGTCCTTTTAATGGTACATTTCTGTATTACTATAAATCTATACTTCTATACTATTATAATAAAGCGTAAACACACACTTTGTTGCCTAAGATGTCCGCAATTATAGCATATTTTTGAATAATTCTTTTTTTGATAAAAAGCCCTACACTTATGTCACGCTTTAGGCTATATATTTTCACGCCATTAAACATAGGAGGTAAATATTTTGGATAAAAACCCTCATGTGGGAAAGAGACCACAAGTTGCTGCCAACATCAAGGAAACAAGTTTTGTCATGTCATGTCATTTTGACATTTGCAATTGACAATTTGACATATGTAAATAATAAAATAATTTTATGCAGATGAAATCGCATGGGAACAGCTAGTATAGAATAAAGTATTGATTGTGTTAATAATACTAAACCACTTATTAATAATAAGCAATTATTGCCTCTTGATTACATAGGTACATATCGTTTAAAATAATAAGTTTTAGAAATATATATAGACTAGTTCCCGTGCGGCTTCATCCGCATGTAATTATGAACACTTTATTATATTGTTTACATTTGACAAATTCTTAATTGCAAATTCAAATTACCGTTACCATAATAATACTGCTTCCTTAATGTTGGCAGCTTGTAGTTTATGGTCTCTTTCCCACATGCAGGTTTTTTTCAATATATTTATTCACTAAATGTAATAGCGTGAAAATATATAGTCTAAAGCTCGTCTAAGTGTAGGGCTTTTTATTAAAGAAAGAATTATTCATAAACATGCTATGATTGCTGACATCCTAAGCCACAAAGTATTGTGTGTTTTCGCTTTATTATATTAGTATGAAAGTAGGGATTAAACATCATTGTATTATTCTGATAAAATATAATTTCATCAATCAAGATACATAAAATTATTTCGTAATAATAGTATATTTAAAGCGTTTTGTATTGTTTCATCAAATGTATCTTATTACTTATATAAATAGGAACAATGATTTATCTTGACAAATTCTTATCACATTTGTTTGTAGTGGTCATTAATAATGTTAAAGCAAATTACAAATAAGGTACTTTTCCACTGCAGCTCAGTTTTAATAAATATTTACAGAACATTTTATAAAACTGACGGAACACCATTTCTTATATTGACTTTTTAATCTTTACTTTTTTTAACATCGACATTTTTTTATGATATTCAAATTAGCGGACGACGATTCCGCCTAAAGTTTAATGGTAATGTGGTCGAACGATTATTAAATGAGTATTCATTCACCCTATAAACTAGAAAATAAGAAGAATTTTCTAGTAGAATCTAGGTGTTGCCTGCGACTTCGTCTCCATGGATTTAACAAAATACTAATAAATATAGCTTTTGTTACTCAGGGATAACATAGCTTTTTATTGGTGAAAAATTTGAAACAGCCATGCGATTTTAATTTAATAAAAAAAATCAAATATTTCCTCTTTATAACATCAATAGCATTCGCCCGCGACTTCGTCCGTGCGGAATTAAATAAAAAACAAAATTAAGTACCCTCTGTGTTTTTATAGAATGTCCTCTACATTTCTACCAAATTTCATAGAAATCTAATCAGCCGTTTAAGCTACAAACTCTAACAAACATCCATCTAAACTTTCGTATTTATAATATTACTATTTTTTTTATAACATAAGGTGGCAAACGAGCAAGCGGCCACTTGAATCCGCCAAAATGGCGAAGCGACCGCTGCCCATAGACATCCGCAATTGCAGATGCGCTGCCTACCCTTATACGACGGAGGAGGAGACGCACATAAAGAGGATATTTCCCCTTCCTATGCATCTCCTCCACCGTCAAATCCACTTCCCCTTCCCATCCTCTCCTTATAAGAAAAGGGTGATAAAGAGAAAGGGACTTAAATTTGGCCTCCGGCACCACACTCATCAGACGAAACACGGAATTGCTTCCATTTCACGCCTGTCTTCTGTGTGGTCGTGGTATTACACCGGGCGTGCCAGCCCATTTGTGCTAAGATGTTAAAGCGGGCACTACCACTGTTAAAATGTATGATATGATTATAGAAAACTAGTCACTTAAAGGATCAGCGATACACTCTACACCTTTTTGATCTAATTAGGTAAAAAAAAAAAACTAGTCACTTTATTATTGCCCACTTCTACACAGACTATACCAAAGGTCAAAAACGATTAACCCAGTCCATTATAATGTCACGCCGAACTAACTTCGACACTCCGTCAATTATCAAAAGGGCGGGTAATTTAATAACCCTTGACATGACGTCTACGGACAATGCCGATGTCGACGTGTCTCGCCCCTCGGCAATTACTCGTGAAATTCGCTTATAAACGAAGGACTTTTTAAATTAAAAATTTGAAAAAAAACTTCTTGATTTTGTAATTAACAGAATTGAAATACATTTAAATAGCAAAAATTAAATCATCAAAATCCACTACAATCAAAAACGTTCAAGATTTTTCATTATTATTATAAGGATATTCTTTTTTTTTCTTTGACTTTACTATTCTTCGATTAAATCCAAAATTAAAAATGTAAGTTTAAAAAAAATTACTTCAAGTATATTTTAGTCCCTTTCCCTTTCCACCCTTTTCTTAAGAGGAAAGGATGGAAAGGGTGGGAAGGAAAAGTGGATTTGACGGTGGAGGAGATGCATAGGAAGGGGAAATGTCCTCTTTATGTGCGTCTCCTCCTTCGTCAATTAAGGGTAGGCAACGCATTTGCAATTGCGGATGTTTATGGGCAGCGGTCGCTTTCCATTTCGGTGGATTCAGGTGGCAGCTTGCTCGTTTGCCACCTTATATTAGAAAAAAAAATATAGTATAACCAGCACTTCTTTCATAATTGTCTTATATAGTCATGTTGTATACACCTACTTTGGTTTAAAACCTTGTTTTATTCATTCATTATTCTGATTGGTAATTATAAAGTTTTAGGTTGTTTGGTGAACCTAAAAATATATATAAATAAGATATAACTCCGAGTTTAGTTTATACATGTTGTTTCGGCTGCGAGACGTTAGGCAACACCTAAAAGGCGCTGCCCACCGCTGCCTGGGACAAGCTCCCAATTGGGTGACCG